CCCCAAAACCCCAAAACCCCAAAACCCCTTTTAAAAAATAAACTTTGATATTAATCTAATTACTTAAATGTCCAAACAAATTGTGATTAACTCTGGATCCATAATCAGGAGAATTCCAGACGGCCCATATAACGAAAGCTGGGAAATTGAAAGCAAAGTGTATGCTCAGACCATCGTCTCCTTAGACCTTTCCAACTGACGTGGAGTGACAGTCCTAGGATTTGAAGGCCAAATGAGAGCTGAAGCATTTGTCGGCCCACAAGAGACTAAAGAGATCTTTTATATAGTAAGAGAGCCTCCTTTCAGATTCGCAGCTGATATCTCCTTTGAAGAAGTTCCTTTGTCACATCATGAGCAAGATTTGTACAATGAGCCTATCGTGAAAGAAGTCGGAGACAATATCCAAAAAATGAAAGACTGACTTGGAGGAGTTGCCTTCGAAGTCCTTGAAGAAGAAGATCTCAAGAACAAAATAAAAGAGGCAGGATTTGATCACTTCGTTGACTTCAGCTTCCCTCCTGATGAATCAAGTATCTGGAGCCCTGAATTAGAAGGTTCATATCCACTAAAGGAGAAGCCTGTGTGGAAGAGACCTCATCAGTTTATGAGCAAAACTCCATCTCTATTTGAAGGTGGAATTGATCCAAATGATATCAACCAAGGAGCGCTAGGAGATTGATGGTTCTTGGCTGCTCTAGCATCAATTGCTGAAAACCCAGCTCTAGTAAGAAGACTTTTCATTACAAAAGAATATAACGAGGAAGGTATCTACAAGTTAAAGATTTGTAAAAATGGAGAATGGGTCACAGTAATCGTAGACGATTACATCCCATGCTTCATTAATGGAGGTCCAATGTTTGCAAGGAATAAAGGAGATGAGCTCTGGGTGATTCTCCTAGAGAAGGCATATGCTAAACTACATGGAGACTACTGTCAACTTAGAAGTGGAATCCTTGCTCATGGAATGGGCGATCTTACAGGCTGCCCTATTGATCACAATTCATTCCCTGAAGATAGGCATACTTTTTACCTTATTGAAGATTTTGCACAGGACTTATGGGGGAAACTTGAGGTCGCAGACATCAAAGGATACATCATGTGAGCTTCTACCCCTGGAGTTGACATGTACACTGAAGGTGGAGGCCCAAACCAAGACAAAGGAATTGTTCCTGGCCATGCTTACTCAGTCATTGCAGTAAAATCATATCATGGAATCCAACTCTTAGAGATCAGAAACCCATGGGGAGAGTTCGAATGGGGAGGAGCTTGGTCAGATAACTCTAGTGAATGGACTCCTGAGCTTATTGAGGTGTTTAAGCCCAACTTTGATTCACAAGATGGAACCTTCTGGATGAGCTATCAAGATTTCTTCAAATATTTCAATGCAGTAACCATTTGTAAAGTGAATAACTGGGATGAATTAAGATTGAGAGGAAAGTTCTTGAGATTATGGGAGAATGAAGATCCTGACGAAGATTGGGTTCTCTCAAAGTTCTACTACTCTTTCAGGCTTTCTGAGCAAACAGAGCTAAATATCGGACTTCACCAAGAAGATGAAAGATGTATGAGAGGAAGGCAAAAAGAGATGGCTAAAAGTGGGTCATCTCATATCTCTTCAAAGTCTTTCTACCTAGATCTCCATATTATTATACTCAAAAGGAACAATAATGGATCGATTACTCTCGTTCATGAGTCTGAGAGTGATTTAGATAGAGAAGTTTACACAAGCGTCACTCTGAAGCCGGGCCATTACATTGTAATCCCAAGAACTTCAGGCGGAAGTTTAAATGCTGTTGAAAGTGACTCTTCTTCTCATTACTCTTACCATGTCCCTTATGGCAATGGTGAAAGGCTCCACACATACATGAACTCCATCTTCGGAGATATTTTCTCTAAAATGGATCTACAACTGAATGGACAGCTATCAGCTCAGGAGCTAAACCAGTTTGGAGAAATCATTGATGACGATGAGTTAAAGTCAATAAAAATGGCTGATTTCTTCAGTGAAAAATTCTGGAACTTCTCTTGTGACGAAAATGGGTTTACCAAGTACGGATTCATCCAATATCTGAGCCAGTTCAGTGATGATAGAATCCATAATATGCTAACTAAACTTGGATACAATGAAGACCTATATTCTACAAAGTCAAGAGTATTTACTTTGAGTTTCCACTGAGCCAAAAAGCTCAGAGTCAGAATAGGAGATGCAATGAAGACAGACTTGAACGAGAGAGCATGGGATCTCATGATGGACAAACATAACCAAGAATTTGGGGCTACGAAAGCACTTTCAAACGCTCATTGCATTGTCTTTAGAATCCATCGTGATCAAAGCCATTCTGTTGATTATGCTGCTATTAATAAGACGGATGAATACATAGAAATTAATTTTAAGCAAGATCAATCACAGAATATGAACTTCTCTCCGTCTAAAGGATCGGTCAGATCAGTGATTCCCCCCAGAGGTCTTATCTATCTTGCCTCTGCAGTAGTCAAGCCTGGATGTGGAAGCTACAAGTACTCATATTCATTCAGATCTGATTATTGTTAATACAGAGAAATATCTAGCACATATTCAATAGATGCTCCTGAAATCGGGGTTTTGGGGTTTTGGGGTTTTGGGG